TTCGTAAAATTGTATTTTTTTGATTGTTCTAATCTCTCTGTTATTAGAGGGGAAATACAGTTTTTTAGCACTGCCTGTTTTTATAAACATACATTGCAAACATTTTAGTGATGCGATAATTTTTGTGGGGTGTATATGTGAGGGAAATAAAAAAGAAATAGACTCAACAATATACCAAAAAGCTTCAAATATTGATCAGCTGAAGATTACCTGAATATGTTAAAGCCTTTAGCTGTAGGACTTGATAAATTACAGAAAATAAAACGCTTTTCTATCTGACGTAGTAAAGTGTGGAAGGAATTAGAAAAAAATCAAGGACGAATTAGAATTATCGTCGACTCATATACAAATTTTTGATAACTGATATAAACAGGCACTAACGTCCTATCATTTTGTGGCTTATATTTTGTATACAAATAAAACCAAATTTAAATTGACCAGTGCAGAAAAAGATTCAGCATTAAATATTATACAAGAAATGTATGGAAATAACCGATTGCTACCACTCATAAAAACTGAAGCCAAAACTTAACCATTTTCAACAGTTGTTTCACAACAGAATATTCCTGAAGTTGTAAAACTTCTTTTCTTGAAATAATCCTCTCATCAGCTTCAGTATTAGTGCTGAATTTAAAATATATGTATAACTTTTGCCCGCAGCTTTGCACGCGTGGTGTCTTGTTTATAATTTAAAAAAAATTAATGATTATTAATTTTTAGTAATTTTTATTAATTTAATTTTTAATAATTTTTATTAATTTTTAATAATTTTTATTAATTTTTAATAATTTTTAATAATTTTTATTAATTTTTATTAATTTTTATTAATTTTTATTAATTTTTGTTAATTTTTATTAATTTTTATTAATTTTTATTAATTTTTATTAATTTTTATTAATTTTTATCAATTTTTATCAATTTTTATTAATTTTTCAATTTTTTTTTAATTCTGATTAATTTTTAATATTTTTTAATTTATTTTAACTGATTTTTATTTATTTCTATTTATTTCTATTTACGTTTAAGTATTTATTTTTCTTTATTTTTTTTATTTTATATTCTCCATTTTTTCTCCTCCTTAAAATGTGAAAATCCAAAAACCTTGAAATATGTCATTATTTACTTATGATGAGTAGCTACAATTCCAATTTTTAAATTTCTACAATTAAAAAACCAAAATTTATTCAAACTTCCACCTTCGTTTCCTCCCTTAATATGAAAAATCCAAATACTTTGAAACATGTCTATTTATTTATGAAGAGTACCTACAATTCCAATTTTCAAGTTCCTACCATACAAACTTTCACTCCCTCATGTTCCCTCTTTCCCCTCTTAAAATATGAAAATCCAAAAACCTGAAACACACCATTATTTATTTATGCTCAGTAGCAGTATTTCAAATTTTCATGTTTCACTACCACTAGGCAAAACATTATGTCAGATCCCTTGCTCTGTGAAAAACAAAAACAAATCGATCCCACGGGAACCGCACATTTTTTCGGGATAAAAAGTAGCCTATGTGCTATTCCAGACTATAATCTATATTTGTGCCAAATTTCATCCAGATCCGTTCAGCCGTTCTTGCGTGATTGAGCAAAAACATACATCCATCCATCCAAACTTTCGCATTTATATTTTTTTCAATATTAAGAATTTTTTTATTCTAGCTATAAAATCTAGAAATAAAAATCCCAGACTATTTCGACGGTTTTGAAGTAGAATCTGTCCCAAATTTACTTATGCAATGTGGCGACTGGTCAAATTTTCTGCAACTTTGGTATCTTTTATTCAACCTAGTAACCAAAATTGCCCAGTTTTTCGGAAATGTTTTGTTGACACTTCTTTAAATTGTGCAAACATAGTATATTTATACTTAAAACATTGATCCACTGACGTGAGCAACATTAGAGTTGATCCATAGCGATTTGTATTACTATTGCCTTATCAATCACTCTCAACTCTGTGATCATATCGCACATCCGATCAAGTAGAATTATAACTCGAAAAACGTGGGTTTTGAGTTAAGTTAAGTTCTTTTTATGTGCTTAACATTCATATAAAAAATGTGATCTATTAATAATTATATTCTGTCAATTCCTGCTCTGTAATTGGGTTTATGACCTGTAGAGTATTGTATTATAAATAAATAAATAAATAAATAAATAGATACAAATGCTCAAAATTAAACGGTGCATCCTCTCAAACAGTCATATCTGTAACTTCACATATTCGCCACTAGATGGCAGATGTCACGGTTTAGCACTGAGACCAGTTTGCTTTTCAGTGTTCTCAATAACTGAGAACACTAATCATCAGTGTGTCATTTAAAAATTTACTTTTTTCAAGTTATAACTCTATTTTATCAGAGCATATATTTTGCATACTTCCTAAATCTACCAAATATAAAAAAAAATACTCTTGCGTCAGAAAACATCGAACGGATGTATGAAGTAGTACATATCTAATATACGTAGACAATCAAAGGGTTAAAACAAAAAAATATTTTAATGTTGTGGTTCTCTCTATAAAACACCCTATATAAGAAATGTGTACTGTGTAATATTTTGTCACAAAAATACTATATTGTGTAGTATTTTTTGAAAATATGCTTCCATGACTTCACAACAAAATTAGTGAGATTTTGTAAAAAAAACTACCTTCATACATTTGAATTGTATTCAATCTAGCTTGTAAGTTTGAATATAAAAATACCGAAAAACTTGGCAATTTTTTACTTTAACATGTATATAGAAAACAAATCATAGGATTGAGTTGGATTCATTGACATTTTTGATTACTTGGTTGAGTACAACATATCAGTTTCAGAAAACCGTCGAAATTGTCTGCGATTTTTATTTTTAGTTTCTATAAATGATAAAATTTAAATAATTCCAAGGTGTCTGGAGGATATTTTTTTATACTGACAGAATACTAGATCTTATATTATCTACAGATAGAAACACTATAGTGACCTTGAGCGATGAAGCATTGGTTCCAGCTGATGGTTACCATCCTCCTTTGAGCTTCCAGATTGTGAACTCTTTGAATCATTCTAATGTGAGCGGTCCCCATTATGATATTAGGTCGGCTGATTTATCTCTGTTGAACAATTGTTTAGGTCAGGTAAATTGGAATGACTTATTATTACATCCCTCAGCGAATGCTATGATTAATATTTTTTATATTTTCTATTTTTTTATCCATGCTATAATTCCATAGAAAAAAGCAACCAAAAGAAAATTTCCAATATGGTTCTCCCCAGAGTTAAAGCAGCTGACAATATTGAAAAAACAAGCTCACAAAAAAATTTAAAGTTCAGATTATGTTAACTACTTATAGTAAATTACGTTCTGATTGTAAAACTTTATCAAAAGTTTATTGTAAATTCTGAGTCTTCTTTAACAGACTATAGAAATATAAAACAGTTTTGGAATTTTGTTAAGAGTAAGCAAAACAGAAATTATTTACCACCATTGCTATTCTTTAATGTCATTTGGGACCAGATTTATCTGATCTTTTTGCAGAATACTTCCAGTCAGTATATACAAGCTTTTCTAATTTTGTGAGGGTGTTAAAACTTACTGTGACTTAAATTCCCTAGTCTTAATATTAGCCATTTCGATTTTGTACATGTTAACATATTTATGATTTTTGATGTTTATTTATTAGTTTATCATTATTATGTCATATTATTTTAGATTGACTCTATCTGAGGTTTTTTTGTTTTTATTTGTAACTTTGTACTGAAAGTGGACATGGCCTGTGAATGAATAAATAAATATATTAATTTATTGCTAATGTCATATGCTGCACACTAGCAAAATTACCATTGTGCTTCATCCTGACTCTTGATTCACAAACATCGATACAGTACTGTTTTTATAATTTCAAATTACCTAAAATACCTTCGCCATATTCGTCATCAGCTCTCTGACTAATAATAGCCACCAAAAAATAACTTTTGTGTAATGTATCTTGTTTGGCACATTTTACAAAAATTGAATCTGGGAAACATCAATAAATAAGTATTCAGAATTCAATTAAAATTACTAAAATTTAAATGCCTTGCATTCAATACCGATTCATAAATCAAAATAAAATTATGTTTAATATACACATCTTTCAAAGCACAGCTATTTTTGCATTCAAATATAGATATAAGTACCCATTTTTATTCCTTTTGTCCATATTCTAGAATACAAAAAGATTCTTAGGTATTGATAATAGTTAATAAAAATAATCCACTAAGTATAAACAATTAGATTTTTGTAAGTATCTATTCTAAGGTGACCCAAAATTTATTGAAAACATTCGTTCGTTTTGGAAATTTTATTGAAATACAAATGATCGAAAAGACAATAAATCAACAATTCATTAGATCGAAAGGGCAATATATCAAAAATCAACAGATTAAAAACAGTAAAATACTCCTAGAAAATAATTGCATAATTTTTAAATTTACCCAAAATCACAATTGATAATATACAAAATATACAAACATTGTAAGTTTTTTTAGATGGAATCATTTTTATTTTATGAATTCATTGCTATGTAACGAAAAGCTCATGTAAATAAATGTTATAAATGCATTAGATTTGAGTTTCTGGAAGAAGCATCTGGAACTGACATTGTTAACTGCCCCTGTTGAAAATATTTGCTATTATGGATATAGACTTTGAAAACAAAAACTTTACTATTATTAAAAAAAGTTTTTATCAACTTACAAAAATCTAATTTTTTAACATCCTGTATGACGAAATATAGTCATAGGATGAAGTTTGGACACAATGGACAATTTTGTTAAGTATGACAATTACTATGAAATTTAGACAAATAGACGGAACACACTTTTGATTTGTGTCAAATCCATTCTCGTCTTCTTACAATTTAAATAAATTTTGATGTCGAAAAAATGCTTAGGCATTTTGAAACATTTTTAATCCTTAGAATGTTCACGTACAGCATAAGCAAACACACCCATTTAAGCAAAAAGTACTTACTTTCGAATTGGGTACTTTCACATCACACCACCTTCCATCAATCATATGCCTCTGTGCTAAAACTCTCATCTGAGATTCATACGATGCAAACCTGATAAATCCAAATCCTTTGGACTGTCCTGTTTTGGGATCTTTCTTCACTTGCGCCATCAGCACCTCACCAAACGTTTCAAAATACTCTCTCAAATTTTGCTCAGTCGTCTTCCAAGGCAAACCAAGCACAATCAAATCAGTACAACGTAACTTAGTTTCCATACGTTTCGTTTTTGCAGTTGAATTCTCCAGATTGTCATCACTCTTTCGTTTATTCTCTAAAATATTAAGTTTATTCACCCTAATGGAAAAACATTCAAAATAAACAAAAAAAAATTGAGAGTACAAACTCACAAACAAATATAGGTAAAGACTGTTTTCAGATATTTCGTTGTCAATTACTAATAAAATGATATTTTATTTTCCAATAAGCATCATTTTATAGTAGATGGATATTTTAATACCTTTGATTTTGCTTACTAATGAGAATGTCATTCTTAAACGGGTCTCGTCCTTATTAGGACTCATCAGTAATAGATAGGTTCTCAATTCCAGTCTCTAATGGAATTAACAAAGGCACAATATTATATACTAGTGAATTTGGTCCTTAAGGGTTGGGTGTGTTTATAAAAGAAATAATATTTGTCAAATTTAAAGTAGAGATACAGTTAACTTTAGCACAACAGTTTATTGATAAGTTATTTTTTAAAACAGATATTTTAATATGGCTAATGTCATCTCGAAATTTGTACTTTTGAGATGTGCCTTATAAGGGAGTTCTCCAAAGGTAGAGATATTATATGCTGTTCAGAGTGAGTAATATTTGACTTTTATAGCGTATAAAATGAAACTGAATGGCATATAAGCAGTGATTTTTATATTTCTCTACTTACAGTGCATAGGCGTAGCATCTGTCATAAGCTTAGTGTTTGGTGAGCCTCGAAATACCATAAAAAATTACTTAAAATTAAAATAAAACTAAAATATTTATAAAATTTATTATACAAATAAGCATCCTCTATGTCTCTTGTATTATTCAATTACCATGCATACATGAACTGTGCAAACAACCACATCACATGCCATTCTAGAAATGCCTCAGCTTAGAAATAATACCCTTATTAATACTACCTATACGAATTTAATTGCAACAAAATTAAATTTATAATTTTGTAACTTAGCCAGATAGGCATTTCGCTTTGTATCTCAATTAATGCTTTACTCTTCGAGGTATAGCCTCTGAACGGTAAAGTAGAGCAAAATTATCAATATGCTGATAGAATATAAATCTAGGTCAACTAGAATATTCGTCTTTCAAATAGAAAAATCATTAATAATTGAATTTTGCTTCCTTAATGTGTTTAAAAATAAAAAGATACCAATTTATATGCCATTAACTATAGAAAATTCAAAACTGTCTACCTTTAGGAAATACGCAGTAAAAAACTTGAGAACCCCATCCGCCGTCAGGTGGTGGATGAAGTCTCCCTTCGGACAGTCGAACGCCCCTAAAAGTTTTCGTTTCTGGATTTTTGTATTTCAAGCCAGAAGAACCAGGAAACTGGGCAGAGAGAGTGCTGAGTAAAAGAGTTCCATCGTCTTCCGTTGGAAGTTCAATTGGTTCTTCACCTTCATCTTCAGCCACTTGCAAATATTCAATCGACATCTTTCAAGCCTCAATCACCCAAGCACTCAAAATATACACCAATTTAAGCGTAAATTCGCCCCAAAATCTCTATCACTCCTCTAATAATTAAACTAAAATGGCGGACGATCAAATCTGGAGTGCGTTTAGAAACCCCGCACGGCGCGTCTGGGTCCTATTCTAATGCATGTGGTCAGACGCGCCGTGCGGGGTTTCTAAACGCACTCCAGTGTAATCAAACACATCGAACATCAACGGTGTTTGTCTGTTTAATTCTTAATTCCAGATATAGAGTAATGTGGTAACACTTTTTTATTGGTCAACTTTAATCACATGATTTCAATGTCATGTTACCATTTGATATTTAACTGTCAATGTTTTAATTTTGATTCCAGAGCAGATAATCAAACGTAAACACAGAACTAAACTTAGATAAAATATGTACAGATAGGTTACCACTGCATAAATCTATACAATGTTGATGTCGCTATAATAAAATCAATGTTTCTTTTTTTAATGCAGGCTTTCTCGCTCATATTGGAATCTTCAGCAGTAGCGTACATAAACCGATTGCGTTGGGTTATTTTAAATGTGAAAATAGTGCAAATAAGCAGGTAGATGAAAAAATACATAAGGCGAGTTCGGATAGTCGGGGACTGGAGCGGGACAAAAGCGGAGTTTTTTAGGGTGCTTTTAAATGACATTTAAGTGTGTTAAACTGTCACTAATCGGACTAAACCGAACGCTAAAAGGGTCGTTTGGAGTAAAAAGTGTTAAAGGAGTTAAAGGAACTTGGCAGGCCGAACGCAATGATAGGTACCATCCCCCCCCCCCTCAAAACTGTGAAATTCTGTCTATGAAGTGGGAGAACAGCGAAAATTTTGTTCAATTTTTATATGCCTTTTACGTATCATTTCTATCTTTGTTCGGCTCAGACACGGCCGTGGTTCAGGCCATAAAATCAAAAATTGCTATTTTAAAGTAGCATCAGTTTCCCTTATTCGCTTGCTACTCTAATGAAAAATTGATGTTTTTGTTGTGACTTATGACATTTGACACAATATACGAACTTCGTCGACACGTCATATGTCGAATGTCGAATACGAACGAAGTGTCGAATGTTTGATGAGGTTTGGATGCTCATTTCCCATTTCATTGATTTTTCCACTTGTACTGATTTTAAGAGAAATTTAGACATTTTGGGTTTATTTTAATTCCTTGCAAAGATGACGGTAGAGTTTTTACAAGTTTGCGAAGAAGAAGGAGACGATCCAATTGAATTACCCACTGAAGAGAATGGCACGCTTCTGCTCAGCACTGTTGCGGCACAATTTCCAGGAGCATTAGGTTTAAAATATAAAGCAAATGCTGATAGTAAAACATATAGGGGTGTTCGTCTTTCTGACGGTGTTCTACATCCCCCGCCTGATGGAGGTTGGGAATCAAAATTATTTGTTTGTTCCTTCCCAAAAGGTAGGGTTATTTGATTCTATATTAAGTATGGTGTGACTTTTTTATTTTCTGTACGGTAAACAATAACAGGCACAGAGTGAACAAAATGTGTAAAATGCTTGCATGTTTATTGCACTTTAGTGAATTTAGTATTCGAAAAAGAAAGAAGTGTGTAACGTTGTATGATACAGTTTTACTATTTTAGAAAATAAACGTAAAGTTGATGATGATTCAGCAGAGAATTCTTCAGCTTCTAAAACAAAACGTTTGGAATCTAGTAGATGTACTGATTTGATTGTGCTTGGTTTGGCTTGGAAAACAGATGAGAAAGAATTGCAAACGTATTTTGAGAAGTATGGCGACTTATTGGTAGCACAAGTCAAGAAAGACAGAGACGGTAATTCAAAAGGATTTGGTTTTATCAGATTTGGTCAGTATGAGTCTCAGATGAGAGTATTAGGGCAAAGACATATGATTGATGGGAGGTGGTGTGATGTAAAAATACCAAGTTCTAAAGTAAGTAGTATTTGTCGTATGGGAGTTGGTCTATTTGCTGGTATATAAGGTGTCAAATGTATTGTGTTATGTCAACCATACACCATGAATTTGAACTGTTAAAAAAGCAAACATTCTGATTATAAAACAATTTGGTTTCCAAAAAGGGACAAGTTCGAGTGATGCCATGCAAGAACTAATATCAAGTATAAAAAGCAGCTTAGGTAGATAATAAGAATATTCTTGAAAGTTATGGAATAAGGGGAACAGTGTTAAAAGTCATTAAAAACTATTTAAATGAAAGAAAACAATTAGTAAAAATAAGGAATGAACAAGTGATATTGTTACAATAAAAATAGGAGTTCCACAGGGAACAGTCCTGGGTCCAATATTATTTATGGTTTACATTAATTCATTATTACATTTAGGTATATATTTAGGGTGTAACAATGTATTATGCAGATGACAAATTTCTATTGTTTGAAAGCAACACAACACATGGTATGCTGTTAAAGAGAGTTTTATCCAAGGGATGGAAATTTTGGATTTGATATTCCATTCTTTAAATATGGTGGAAACCAAAGATTTATCACAGCTGTAGGACCAAAAATGTCAATGCTTTACATATAAAATCATTTTTTAAAAATGATAAAAAGTTCATTGGTATTAATTATTAAATTTTGTCAAAATTGCTGAAATTGTATTTTAGAACTTCTATATTTTATTTATGTTGCACATAAAGATGCTTAATAAATTATATTATAATTTTAATTTGTAGATTATATAATTAATTTTTTACATATTTATCTTGTCTGGTGAGTGAGTAATAGAAGAATGACAGTTCTAGTGGATCCTGTATATTCTTATGATTCCTTCAATTCTTTTATACCAGCATATGGCTACTTTATACCTGTCTAAATGTATCTTATATTTGTGTGGTTTCCTCTTATTTATATAGAGCTATGATTGATATTTTGATTGTTCCTACAACTATTTGATTTTTGAGAGTATAAGTTATTGAATTATAAAAGACAATGTTCTCATGTTGTAAAACATATCAGAAGGAAAGTGTGTAAAAATTATGATTTGGAATCTTTACCTAACCTGTACAGCCTTGAGCTATCAATAAAGGGTTATAAAATTGAAACAAAAAAATCTTATAAAATGGCTACCTACTGCACTAGGGAGCATCAGATTCTGTAGGACTGACTATTTTCACACTTTTACATTTCTTTTTAGATAGGTAACTAATGACAGCGAGATGAACCAACACAAATTACTGCTTCCTGTTAATTTTAATAGTAAAAAAATGATTTCTAGGAAGGAGTTATACAGCAGCTCTCGAGTAGGGTGTTTGTCGGCAGATGTACTGAGGACATGTCCTTAGATGACTTAAAAGAGTATTTCGGAAAGTTCGGCGAAGTAACTGATGTATTTATGCCGAAACCCTTCAGGGCTTTTTGCTTTGTGACGTTCTTGGACCCCGAAGTGGCTCAGAAACTTTGCGGAGAGGATCACATTATTAAAGGTCAATATATTTTATAAATTGGGAAATTTTTTTTTTTTTTTTTTTTTTTCAAAAATTGATATATATATATTTACATATAGATATAGGTTTCATTCATTTTTAATTGTGGTTTTTAAACTTGAAAACATATTTCTAGTTTCATATACGGCAGCAGTGCCTAGTAATTAAGTGTCGTGAATGGTGTAATAGCAATAACTGGGTAATTTCTAGGAACATGATTGGCTTACTTTACTTCATTTTTCTTCAAAGTTCTCTACACATATTTTTACTTAGGATAAAAGGTGCATCGATGTGGGGGAGGTCACACAGTCCACAGTTCTAATTAAATCTAATCTGAAAATTATATTCTCTTCTTTTTTAATTTCAAGGAGGCTTTTGAGGAAGAACAGTTAATATCTGTAATGTTTTGTTTATATTGTACTTATAGTTTGAAAATTGTTATTATTTATTATTATTATTAAGTTAGAAACTTGAATATAATTTCCATTGATGTCTCTTAACCACTTTTTTATTTATTTTTTTCCCCAAAATTCTAAGACACATAGTTTTTGGACACCCGTTACTTTTAGTCCTTCTCTTTTCTCTTAATTGATAGAAACAGATGGAAAAGATTTTTTGAGTACAATAATGGAACGAAACAGATTAAATCCTCAAGAACCAACCTTACAAATCTGCCACATATCAAAGCAGAAGCCAAACATTTTAAAAGTTGAAATACCTGACTTTCTCAATTTTAACTATTTATTAATTATTTTTGTTTCTCTGGAACAACAATGACGCAAGTGCAAATTTTAACTTTTTGAGCTAACTATAGTATAAATATAAAGAAAATGCGTTTCTCCGGTGAAAGAAAGAAAATTAGAATGTATATGCTTTCTCGAAGTTCCCATCGATTATTTCCAAAGTATTCCTTAACGTCTCAGATGTAAGTTTTATATTAAATTTTTTTTGTGACATCTGCAGAATCGTTAATTTTCACTTGTTTCATTATTCTTCCGGTGAAGCAATAGTTTCCTTTTCATAGAATAATTCTGCACATCGCATACTTGATTCAAAAGTGACACAACTCAAAATTTATATCTTTTGAATTGTTACCATGAGGATTGGTAAACAACCATACATCAAAACCTCAAAAATGACACATTCATGGTATTAATTTAAAAGATGTGAATTTTGAGTTGTATCACTTTTGAAGCATATGTTTATGGTTTATTATTTATAGGGGTATCTGTGCACGTATCTAATGCTGCTCCCAAGCAAGACAATCGAAAACATTTTAATAATGACAGAAGTGGTGGAAACCGTGATGGACCGGTCTGGTCAGACAGTCAAGGATCAGGAGGCGGAGGAAATAGCAGATATAATGACACCGGACCAAATAATTGGGGTGGTAATCAAGGTGGTTTCAGAGGAGGAAACAACATGGATGCGTCAAATTTCAACCCATTGAGTAAGTAGTTTTTGCAAGGACTATTTACTTAAAAATAATCAATAAACGTCTTTAGTTTTCTAAATGCTGTCGTACATTGTAGCCTGTTTACAGCATGTTATATTTTTCAGAATTGCACACAATTGCTCGTCTTCATATGCTGTCACATGTTTTTAAAGAACTTTTAAAGATTGGTGCCGACATTATGAAATTGACGGTTTTGACAGTTGAACAGTTGCTGTTGAGTGAATTTTTGTTGAATTTGTTGTAAACATAACTGTTAACTATTGCATTTTATTGTATGTATTGTGTAACTATTGTAAAATGGCAACAAGAAACCTTTGATATTTACAGGGAGATTCAAAATATCGAACAAAAAATGAATGAATTTAAAGAAATGACAATTTTAATTTTTTGTCTGATATTTTGAATCTCCCTGTTGCTACCAAGGTTTCTTGGCACCATTTTAATGAACACAAAACTGCGCAACTTTTGTCGAATTTAACCAACTTTTTATCTGTTACCATTTAAGAAATAGCAATACTGTCCCTATATAGGCTAGAAACGATTTTAAAGTTTTTTTTGTGAACTTCCAGTGAATCCGGCTCTAATGGCGGCTGCTTTGAATCAAGCTGGATGGGGATTCATGGGCGGTGGTAATATGGGAGGTGGAGGAGGAAATCAAGATTCTGGATACTCAGGAGGAGGAGGAGGTGGTTTTAATAACGGATCTGGAGGAGGACCAAATAATAACAATCGTAAGTTTATCTATCGTGAAGTGTAAGGCTATTAGGGGGGAATCTCGAAAAAAAAAAAAAAAAAAAAAACTGAAAGAAGACTCCATTAAAAAAATCCTGATTAAAAAATGTATGAATTTACAAGTGTAGGTCTGTATTAAACCAGATATTGAAAAGTGTAGGTTGTCTAAGTGTTTTTAGCAATGTTTGAACAGTATTTATTTTTCTTGGGGACATAATGGAAACGATTGCATTATACAGTTTGTCCACTTAGGTTTGCAGCATATGGGAAACTTTTATTATCAACTTAACGAAAAAAAGTTCTGCATGGTCTAAAACCTAAAATGCAACAACCATCAGATGTCAAATTTTTACAATAGTATAAGAGGCATGTCAATATGAATTAGCTATTATATTTATAATTGTTTTAGGGGCAGATATCTGTAGATCCTCAAAATTTATACTTTTCCAAGTTATTTTTTTTTTTAATTTCTGTTTGGTGTGGATTTTATTTTCCGGTTTCTTTTTTCTTGGGTTTTTTACTTTGAATTAATAATTTATAACTTTTTAGATTAACAATTTTTTCAGGAAAGTTTCAAAATGGAAATGGGCGTAACAATTACTCCGATGGAGGACCATGGGGTGGTAACAGACCCCAAAATCGTGGTGGCGGTGGTGGTAATAATAATAATAATAGATGGTAAATTTGAATTCCAATTATTTTTATAATCTTAACATTACATATAAGTATGTGTAGAGTGAAATACATTTTTTTATCAGTTTTAAAGAGAAGAGACAAGAATTTATTGTGTAGGTACATTGTTTTGCTGTACATTGCTATAGATACATTTGTTGTACAAGAAATGTATTATTAATGTTTCGTCAATAAATTTAAATTAAATTTAGTATTGTTGTTTTATTAATCATTAGTACATACCTTTGGAAAAATCATATACAAAACAAAAGTTCCGAGATTTAAAAATTTAAATGGAAATTCCAGTGTCCAAACTTTTTAAAATCAATGGTATAGCAGGGGCAGAAGTTGGAAAGGCTTTTGCCAGTTCTTCCACTTTATACGCATAAATTGACAGGTTTGCGGCGAATCTAACAGAAGTCGACGCGATACATTGGCGTACAAAATTATTTTGTAGATGTTAATAACAATTTTGAATAAATAATTTAATAAATTGTAAACAGCTGTTAAAATTTTGTAGAATTATGATTTGGATATTATAATACATGTTTAATAATTATTTATAATCCATAAATATATGCGTTTGTCCGGTTCCGCCGGTAACAATTTAAAATTACTTATTCTATGAAACGACACTGGCAGGTAAACATTACTGCAAAATTATCGAAGCCATTCGACGTGGTTTGATGTCTACCCACCCCCTCTCTAACTACCAAAAAACCTTTCCAACTTTTGCCCTTGCTATCAGGACCGACGAGAAAGAGGGGTAGCCGGGACCAATTCCCGGGACCCGGGCTCAAGTAGGGGCCCGGCAGCTTTAGGTGAAGAGGTTTTTTTATTTTTTTGGAATTTTGTAACAAGAGCTAAGAGATATCACTAAAAAAGGAGAAGTTTTTGGTTTTTTTATAAAATTGTCGCGGGACCCGACCTGGCTCTCGGTGGCCCTGCCTGCTATTGCTATACCTACATACAGCTTGTTATGTCTATACTGCGACCTAAATGATCTACTGGACAGCAAGGGAAGTAGTATACAGCAAAGACATTGTTGATAATTTTTGTGGAAATGGGGAAAATGTTGATGGTATAGCATAAGTAGAAGTTGGAAAGGCTTTTGGTAGGTAGAGAGGGGATAAATGTCAAACCACGTCGGACGGCTTCGAGAATATCCCAGTAATGTTTACCTGCCAGTGTCGTTTTATAGAATAAGTAATTTTAAATTTTTACCGGACTTGTATTTATGGACTATAAATAATTATTAAACATGTATTATAATATCCAAATCACAAGTTTACAAAATTTCAACAGCTATTAACAATTTATTAAACTATTTACTCGAAATTGTTATTAACATCTATAAAAAAAATTTGTACGCCAATGTATCACGTCCACTTATTAAACTGGAAGAACATAGCCGATCACAGGGCTGGTACCAGCCCTGGCCGATCAGCAAAATTATGGTGATATTTGTCACTTTGGCGCCCACATGTACGTATCGAAATGCACTAAAAAGGATTATCACAATTAAATTTAAAACTTATAGGGGTCTATTCTGTAAAAATTCCTTTATATTTAACGGCCTTTAAAAATATTGGCGGCCTTTAAAAACACTTTCGTATTCGTTAATTTACTTCTGTCATTATTTAAACAGATTTCTTTAAGATAGTCCTCTAATGTATTTTAAAGATCCGTTTAAATAATGACAGAAGAAGAAAATATTTTTAAAGGCCGTTAAATATAAAGGAATTGTTACAGAATAGACCCCAGTATGTTAGCATGTGATAGTTGATTGTTTTAATTATCTGATTGGTTGTAATGCACATTTTAATACATTTTTATTATATTTAGACTTAGTTTTCATCTTCCATTTATTGTGTGATATTTTATTCAAACAGTCAAAGGGACAAGATATTTAAAAGTTACTTTTTTCAGTGTAAAAATAAGCGACAAAAACGTCAACTGTCAATAAAAATCTGACCACTAAGACATCAAAGGAGCCGACTCAAGCTGTCGCTACTGTATTATTAATTATACTGGGTCCCAATGCTCAAACGTCCCGCCGTCCTACTTGCCTACCTTTCTACGTCTCGACGACCTATCTCGCGAAAGCTGTGACATCCCGCACCACCTAAGTATTTCTTACCTTATATCCGTCCCGACGACCTTCAATGATGAGTTGAAAAGGTTAATGTAACTGCCTTAATTGAGATATTACCGGGGTTTTATTTTGAATAAGGGATGACATTTTGTAATGAGCCAATTCCTCAGGATAAATAATGGGGTTTCTGGTATATTGGAAATATTCTTTATTTCAACGTTTCACAACTTTAAAAATCAAAGAGCAACGACAAGTTGGGTTGGACATCAACCACAACTCGAGTCGTTGTTACAAATTAAAATTTACTTAACAACAAACTTAAAATTACTTATCACCTTTCGCGGGTTAAAGCCGGTCTGTCTCCTCCCGTCTCGTCACACCGTTCTTCCCTTTCCCCCGCGACATATCACACCTGACCAAAAGACCGGTAGCTGTTAGCGTTGTTGCCACGTCTTCGCTAAAGTCTTAGTTCTGCGCACTTCAATTTGCTTCAAAATATTATCAATGTAACCAAATGGACCACATGGCCTTCGGGAATTCACCTCAAAAGACAGTTAAGTTAACATAGGTTCTTCGATGAATGAATTTGAGTAATTTCAAAAGAAATTATAAATATCAATATTTTAGAAATATACAGTGACGTTTATTATCTTGGATAAATTATACAAATATATAAGCAAACCTAGATGGCAAAATTTAATAGTTAGTTAACCAACTGGTAAATTGACACCGTTTGGTAGCTCAAGGAGGCCACCTATACTAGCCACACATTCTACTAGGTTTGAAGCATAAAGTATATGTGAACATCAACACAGTAAGTTAACCAACTGGCGATTTGGCGCTGCTCGTTAACTCCTTCGAAATAAATACCTAAGAAAGTACAATCCTGTGTAGATCTAGAATAGAATCAAGCTAAATAAAATATATCTCAAAATATATATCAAATGAACCGCGTTTGAGCGAGACTCAAGTGAGATCTCTCTAAAAAGTACCTGTTGTAAATACACTTTGTAAATTATTAAGTTACATTTTAAATTATGAAAAATAAAAGGTTTTAAATATAAATTTTTATGGCTTTATTTACCAATTTGCACCAAACTTTGCATCTAATCCTGGTTAATTTTAAATGACTTTATTACAACGTGTGTATAAATTATCAATTAATTAACAAGCAACTAGCCGATCACTACTACTACTAGAGGAAAAAGGCCAAAATACAGTAAGTATAGAATTTAAAGTAAAACAAAATTGAGAGGTAAATAATAAAAATTCAGACTTAACAAATATCAAAGGGATATGGGAGTGGGTGAATACTGTAACGATAGTCTAATTTATTTATAATTTATTTATTTAAAACACACCATTTAAAATTTATTTATTACGTAATATTTAATTTATATAATACTTACTAACAATTTTTATTTATTTATTACACTTTAACTTGTCATTCCAATACTCTATACTAAATTAAACTGTCCGCCAATAAGTAGAGCTATTTATATCAAGTCCAACTCTGCTACAAGAAATCTCTAGACGCTCCCGAAAATTTCATCTCTGACTCAACGGTACGCTCCGACCGTTCTAGCCGTTTCTCGAGTGTCAGCGGCATTTCTAGAATATTCCGTCGTTTCGAGCATGAGTTGGGTGCAAAGATGAAAGTACCTTGCTTTAGACCCAGGGTCGGCTTAGAAATTTCATGGCATTACAACACGTAAAGCGTTACTATATTAGAATCACTTAAGGACAATATACTACTAAGGACCGATTCCACCGTTGTGTTAAACGAAGTTTAAAATGACATTTTTACATTACCAATGTCATTTTAATCTCCGTTTAACACAACGGTGGAATCGACTCTTAAATAATCAGCCGCCTATGGCATCCTTTTAAAATCTCTTCAAATTGGGGTGTAGCTCTATCTCTTTCGATGTTAGTTATGCGGTCTAATTGTCCTCGATTGTTATTTCTACTCTTTGTCCAAAGTGACCATTAAAAGGAAAAACAATATTATTGTTCGCTCGATATTCGTGTATTTTTCCAAGGCCTAAAAATAGTTTTTGTAAATCACTCCTTATTATAATGAATGTTTTACAAATATATAGCAAGAGTTATTGCTCTGGACGCTTGAATTTCGTTTCAGGGGAAATTCGCAGTAGGTATCTCCTACAACCCAGATAGCACAAAGTCGTCTTAAAGACGTCTAGCATAAGACATTCGAGACGTCTTTAAGACGTCTGGTATTTCCTGAAAGACGTCTTAGAAGACGTCTGATGTTACAAAAAGCGACGTCTTTAAGACGTCTTATTAATGGCTTAAATTGGTCTGTAGAGCTTAAAATAAGCCATAAATGAGACGTCTTTAAAATAGCTTATAATGGTCTTGTAAAGCCTTAAATAAGCCATAAATAAGATGTCTTTAAGACGTCTTATTAATGGCTTATAATGGTCTTGTGAAGCTTTAAATAAGCCATAAATAAGACGTCTTTAAGACGACTTATTAATAGCTTATAATGGTCTTGTGAAGCCTTAAATAAGACATAAATAAGACGACTTATAAATAGCTTATAATGGTCTTGTAAAGCCATAAATAAGACGTCTTTAAGATGTCTTATGAACGTAGGACGTCGGATATCTTGGTTATTAAAAAGTAGAACAACCTTGCAGATTATAAAATAATGCAAAAAATAGAATTAAAATATTTATTGATAAAACATCTATTAATCACAGGTCACTAAGAGTTATTTTCTTTGTAGCGCATTCGATTACTCCTCTTTAGCCATAACTGGATTGATTTTTCTCTTTGATTTGTAGTTGCCTTTGTATAGCTCCTAAAAAGAAATTTAGTTAAGAGCATCTAGTCACAGAAAATTATACTTTGCAAAAGTTAGTAAAAACCGACAGAACAGTTATCTATAAAGCAAAACAAAAAATTAATTTCTTAGAATTTTAAATCAAAGAATTTTTATAATCATTTAATGCAATATGAGCTATTATGCTTAATCGCCTACTTTAACAATTTTACTTTAACTCAAA